GGCGGCGGCGGCGGCTTCGGCGGCCCCTTCTCTGCGGCCGCGGTGCCCCCGCCGCCCGCCATGAATTTACCTCAGCAGCAGCCCCCGCCGTCCGCGGCGCCGCAGCAGCCGCAGAGCCGAAGGTCGCCCGTCAGCCCGCAGCTCCAGCAGCAGCACCAGGCGGCGGCAGCCGCCTTTCTGCAGCAGAGGAACTCCTACAACCACCACCAGGTAGGCAGCGGTCGGGCCGCTCGGCCGAGAGACGCGGGCGGGGCGGCGGGCAGCCTCCGGCCCTGCTCTCTCGAGCCGCGCGCGGGTGCCCCCAGAGAGGAAGCGACGACGGTCGCTCCTCCAAGTGAAGGTGGGGTCAGGAGGGTGGAAAACGGCGACGGGACACGACCCCGGCGGGGCGGGGGGCGAGCGGTCGGCGCGGGCACTGGCCACCGTGGGCTGCGAAGGCTCCGGAGCCGGGGTCGCTCTGGCCGCCGCCGCCGGACGGGCGCCCAGTCGAACGCCCTGGACGGCGATGGGGGCAGGGGCGGACGGCGTCGGTCCGCAGGTGGGTGGGCGGGCGCGGCGTCTCTCCAGTCCCTCGGAGCGGGCGTCCTCGCTAACTCAAGGCCCCGCCGGCGATCTCCGGGCTGGGGGTCCGCGGTTCTTGGATTCCGAGCCCCGGACCTCGGGAGGCGCGGCGGACTGGGGACGGCGGGGCTGGCGGTCCTGATGGCAGGAGCCGAGGAGCGGCCATGGGAAGCGAACTCGGGCGGGAGGAAAATGATGGCCGGAGACAGTGGGTCTCGGAGCCCGTGACTCTACTCGGCGGCCAATGGGGACAGGTGGAGAGGCTGTTTTTCTTTCGAGTTTGTTTCGTTCTTAATTGGCCGGCGAGAGACCTCGCCTCGGAGGCCGGAGCCGGCGGCGAGTGGGTCCGCTTCCCAACGCCGGTTCCGTCCGGTCACCCTGCCAGCAGCGCCGCTCCGTCGGCTGGAGACCGCGCGCCTTGCGGTGGGGTCGGTGCGAGCCGGCAGCGCCCTGGCCGACCTGCCTCGTCACGGGGCCGCGTCCTTTGAGAGCTGTCAATGAGCTGACTTTAAACCAGAAAATGTTAGTGACAGTTCAGCTGGTGAAAACGGAGATCCTGCGCGATTGTGTGTGTCGGGGAGCGGGGGTATTTTGTGGATTTTACAAAAGCAGTTAAAACTAATCTTGAATGTGGCATTCATGTGTTATCTTGAAGAGACTAATATATCTTTTTGACCTTAAGTTTTCTCATGAATTTTGAGGTGTGTAATAGTTAAGGTGTGGGCTACTAACGGAAAGGTTGGCAGTTTGAACCCACCCAGCGGGCTCCACGGGAGAAAGACCTGGCAATCTGCTCTCGTAAAGATTACAGCCAAGGAAACCCTATGGGAGCAGTTCTACTCTGTCATATAGGGTCGTTATGAGTCAAAAATTGATTCCATGGCACCTTACAACAACATATTTTAAGTGGATAATGTGATTATGAAACGACATAAGACAAATTTTTGTTTATTCGGGGTCTTTCTGATTGAAGATCATCTTGCTATCCCCTTCAATTCTTGTGTGGCTGCTCGGTTGGTTAATTGACACTGAAGGAGTGTTTTTAATCTAGTCAGCGTTTACTATAGGGATCCTTCTATTTAAGGCCTTTTTCTATGCTTGGGGTAGTATGCTTGGGGTAATGTGGTTAAGGATTGACAGAGGGGAAAAATTTGACCTTAATCAGTGTTTACTTACATAGGTTTTTCCATTGACCGGTTAAAGTTCTAAAGGGTTAACTTTTTTAAAAGGTGGTACTATCAGTCTAAATTAAATTAACCAAAGTAACAATTAACAGCTTTTGTTGAATGACTGGTTTCTTACTGAGAAAGAAGAGTGTGTCTTATGAGGAATAAAAATATCAAATTTGGAAATAATAGTCTACTTTTCCATGATTTACATAATTTTGAGCAACATACTAGGTATTCTTTGTGTTTCAGTATCTTCATTTTTCAAAGTTGAAACTAGCTACAGAAAATTGTAGGTTTTTTATTATTATTAAAGTCACAATGTGTAGAGTGTTAGAAGAACATATATCATGACCCATATTTTAACTATTACCTGCTTTTGCTCAAAAGGTGGGTCTTATAATGGAGTGTAAGTGGTCACACAGCTTTCATATGGAATTTTAGATAACTGGAAGAGAACTTTGAATACTGAATCTAATTAAGTCAGGAAAGTAAGGCCCTCAAGAATGAAGTGATTTGTCCCAGTTCCTTTAATTATCAACTATGTGGAGAAGAAAAAGGTAGTATATAGTCATAATTATATTACGTGTACAAGTTTGAAAATAGGTACTATAGGTCACATATTTAAAAATGTGTCTTGTAAGAAACATGATTTGACTTTTAGAGTGCTGTGTTTATTGATTTATAGTAACTGCATGCTCCATGCTTCCTTTTGCTAAACCTCAGACCAAGTTATTAAAATATAAAACTTTAATTATACAGCTTATTCAGAGTAGAATAGCTGGCAATTAATACTTTAAAAAAAAGTCTGTAATTACAGCCTTTTGGTGGATTTTCCATTCTTTGAACACTTTTCTTACCATAGGTTCTAAGTTGAAATATAATTTATTTTTGAAAGTGAATGAACTAAATGGCGACTTAAATTATCAAGATCTCCACTAGAATAATCGAAACATGTAGTTGTTTACTGTTCGGAGATCTCAGTGGATCCACTTAGGGGTAACATCAGATAATTGTTTAATAGTACATAGATAATTAAGTGAAATAAAAATGAACATTTTACAAGCATCTACACTGAAACTAGAATGAAATACTTTAAAAGTTCTAAATGGCATATTTTCTATCTTGTTCCGTATTCTAAAAGGCATTTCTAATTCATGCAACAGAGTAACACCAAGCATTATCAGTATTCAGTTTTGTAGTGGTACGCTGTGTTTTGGAATCAAAAGTCTTAGTATTTAACTCATATGGCTGGGAAATGTTAATTCATAAAAACCATATATTTAGTCTTGTGTCTAGCAGAATATGTCTAAGATCACCATGCAGTTTTTATCTTTAACAATCTTTAAAGTTAATCAGTTTAAAAGTATATACTTTTTTCCATACTTACGTATATACAGTTCCCCCACCCCAGGGAAAAAAAAAGTGACTTTTATTTTAGCAATTGCTACAAAATATCTGCTTGATACATTATAATTTGTGGCTGCAAGATGGTAAAAAATTTACTAATAGCACTGAATAAATGTTTTCCATCTAGCAAGATCATAAGCTTATTACTATTTGTAAACTAGTCAAGCTATATCTTGTTACCTTTATATAGCTGACTTATTTAAAGTCATATCAATTCTTAGTTCATATCTAATTGGATTTGAATTAAAAACACTTGAAATGCCTATACTTTAATAAATAGATGTGTTTTCTCCAGCCTCTTCTGAAACAATCTCCTTGGAGCAACCATCAGAGCAGTGGCTGGGGCACTGGAAGTATGTCCTGGGGAGCAATGCATGGCAGAGATCATCGTAGAACTGGGAACATGGGGATTCCAGGAACTATGAATCAGATATCTCCATTGAAGAAACCATTTTCTGGTAATGTCATAGCACCACCGAAATTTACTCGCTCTACTCCATCACTGACTCCAAAATCTTGGATTGAAGATAATGTGTTCAGAACAGACAACAATAGTAATACACTCTTACCCTTACAGGTAAGAATGGTATGTAAATGACTATTTCTAATGTTAATCTTTCAAAATAGAAAGTTGGGTGGTAGGAGTATTAGTATCGTAAAATTACCATTAAAGAAATGAAGTTCTAGTTTTTAAGCATAGAATTTAATTATCAAAGGGTGTAATCGAGCATGTAAAAATATTCTCTAAACCCACAATAAGCGTCATAACTGTAGAAAAACATGCTGTGTTTCTTAATATATAGTGCATCTTTTAATTGGCAGCTTCTTAAGAATTTAATTTATTCATCTTCTGTAGGCCACCAGGATGCATTTCTCCTATAATATAGCTAAACTAAAAAGTGCCATAACTGTAATTGTGCATAGATTTGACTATGATGAGTTATACGTATATTAGAATATAGTACTCAGTATAGCTGTGATGGTGGCAAAATAGTATCAGGACTTTACATCAAATTAGTGTTTGTCTTCACTGGTTCAGTGACTATCTTTTTCTGAATGTGGCCTTAATACTTACATTGCTAAGACATTTTTTTCAGGCCTTTTATATGTTGTTGATATTACAGGTTAGTTAAATTTCCTGATAGCTGTTTCAAATGAGGTTGTTGTTTTTTTTTTTTCTTTTTTTTTTTGGCTCTAAAACCAGAACAAAGATACCAGATAGAAAGAACTTTGGATTTTTTTGTTTTGTTTTCTCTCTCTCTCTTTCTTTTTTTTTTTTTTTCGTGGGTGGGTATGGGGAAGAGAACTGCTCCTTTCTGATGTTAACTTCTATGCTATTGAAGGTGAGATCTAGTTTGCAGTTGCCAGCTTGGGGCTCAGATTCACTCCAAGATAGTTGGTGCACTGCAGCCGGAACATCCAGAATAGACCAGGTAGGCTGCAAAGTGTATGTTTTTCAGGATTTTGGCTAGGAGTTTAGTATTTATATTATGAATAGGATTTATTATTTACTCTCCAACTATGCCTATTTAAGCATATGTCAGAGGACATTAAAGCCATTTGTTTTTTAATGGTCACTTGTTTTAACTACTTAGTACAAAATGCTTCATTTTCAAATTTAAAAGTAATTTGTAATCATTTTATATTTACAAAACATAATAAATTTGTTTTTAGAAAAGGGAATTAATAAAACTTGGGGTCATAAGAGCACCTGACTTTAAACATCAGTTGAGCTGAACAGATTTTATCTCCTTTTAGAATTAATTGCAATTAGGTACAAAATCGTATGTCTAATTAACATGCAACCTTACATTTCATCAACATTTTTCAGAAGTTTCACAGTAAATCTTTGTCATGAAATCTGCTGCATTTGTCCTAAGATATTTCTAGTAAAGCCCTGTCTTAGTTTTCTCACCTTTATAAACAACTTTAGTGTTTACTTCATTCTAAATTTTATTATTTTTCTTTTATTGTCTTCTTCCAAATAATCAGTTTTCTGTGGAGTAACTCTGAGTCAAAAAACTGAGGGTCAGTCTTAACCAAATTACCTTCAGTCCCTAGGTGGTTACAAAATACTAACTTCCAGCAGACTGAATTTAAGTAGTATGCTGGTACATGGTGATAAAGATGATTACAGAACAGATAGAAAACTCATTCCTTGCGTATGAGGATTCTTTCTTACAGAGTCCAAGTTTGAAAGAGCATGGACTTGACATTTTGGAAGTCCACTGAATAGAGCTATGTTATCCTTAGCTAAAGCTCTTCCTTAGTTAATTTATCAAATGAGATGATTTTACAAACACGGACTGTATAAGCAAATGAATAATACATTCCTAAGTAGATTGTAATGTAGAGGGTTAGCACTAACTTGAATGATCACCACAAGCAGCTATTTTAGACAAGTTCTACCTATTTACCAAAGCAGACATGTCAGGATCTCTCCTTAGAAATACTGGTTACCTTGTATAATTTGCAATTTATTTTCTTGTTAATGTAAGTTGGCTCTCTATTTCTACTCTCTTCTCCACTCTGGCTCAGTTAGGCCATATTAGTGACATTTTTATGATAGCACTATTATGTTGCTCAAAACGAATACATAAATACCTAGGAAATGGTATGTTAGAAGAGGAAAATTATAATTATTTTGAAGATGTCAAGGACATGGTTTTAGAGAGGAAGTGAAATGATTATTCTAAGAGTATGTGCAGGAAGAAACAATCAAGTACATATATGAGAGAGAGAAATATCTATGGAGAAGAAAAAAGGCAGATTAATTGGCATAAAGGGGTCCATGGGTGGGGGTGGGGTTGTGGATATTGAGAAATTAAGTTATTGAGATGATTTCAGTTGCTGGAGGGGGCCCATGGGACAAAGACTTCAGTCCTCCCATTCTAACTTCAGCCAGAGCCACTTTGCTTTTACCTGCTTTATAACCTGGGGTTTTAGGCAGATTTATTTTAGGAAAAAGGATTTTGGTGCTTAAAGGTATATGTATAGACATATACATACATAATATCTGTATGTCCAAGGGTGGCGCAAATGGTTAAGTGCTCGACTACTAGCTGAAAGATTGGCAGTTTGAATCCACCCCCAGGTGCCTAGGAAGATAGGCCTGGTGATCTGTTTCTGAAATGTCACAGCTTTGAAAACCCTATGGAGTACAGTCTACTCTGCAACACATGGTGGTAGCTATGAGTTAGAATCTACTCCATGGTAACCGGCAACAACATAGGTACTCATTTATGTGTACCCACACATACATATAAACTTTTTTTTTTTTTCCAATTGTTGAGATATTGGCATTCCCTCTGGACTCTTGGGCAGAGGTGCAATGTGACAGAGTTGAAGACAGTGGTGAAAGAGATAGTTGAAAGTGACATGAACTAGAAGGAAAGGTGATCTGAGACCTTGATCCTCTTCCTTGTCCTTTCACAATCTTGATGACATTGGATGAGATAGTTTATGGGCTTCCATCTTATGGGTCATCATTTCCTTATTTCCTTATCTATAAGAAGAGAACTAGGTCATCTAAGGTTTTTTAAGCCAGCTTTTATACTTTACCTGGTCTGTTTTTTTTCCTTCTCTGCTCCACCCCCAGCCCCCACTTATTGTTAGAATGCAAGGGTCTTGATTTCTTGGGGTGAAGGTGTTGGACAGTGGTCCGAGGTAGTGTATGATCTTCCAACTGGTCTTAAAAGCACCCTAAGGGTGGTCATTATAAATAATTTGTTCTGTGTTTCCATCTTTCCATAAAAGGTTGAGGTATTTGAAGCTGAGGTTCTTAAAAATACAGCAGCAACTACAAACTGGGATTGGTATCTTAAACTGTTGGGTAGTTCTTCACTATCTGACAAAATTAAAATTATAGACAGTACTTCACCTCTCAAATATCTGGGTATATTATTTTCCTTTCTACTTTTTTTTTAAATCATATAAAAACATTTGAATACTAATAAATTGTAGTTAAATACATTATTTAAAAACACTTAATTTTTTGTGTCTTTTAGTTTCAAACTGATTAGGCCTAAAAAAATACTAACTTCTAGAACTAAAGTCTTAATCTTATACCTGGATACTTTAGGCCTTCCTGTGGCAAGATGGGAAAGATATAGTCTGGTAGGTTGGTTTTATTTCAATTGTATATAAGATTTTGTGGATTGGCATTTCTTTATTTTAAATAAGCTATCTTTTTAATGAACCTTAAATCTGTTGCCATCGAGTCAATTAAAGCTTCAGATTTAAAACTTTGTAAAAACACAAGTGTAAATTGTTGTGCATATTTCTGACTTAAAATAACTAAGATATCTCTCTTAATCTCTTTAAGGCTGAGAATTATCCTACTTTAAAACACTGCTAGCTAGTTACCCTTGTAAGAAATCATACTTGAAAGTATGAATTCTAATTTAACCTTAAAATGGAATTTTCAATTAGATACACTATATTTATTCATTGATACTTGAATATTTTAAATCAAAGAGTAAATACACTAGTAGCTGAGGTTATTATTACTTACAAGTTTACACATGGCGCAGCAGTTCCCTGTAAACAAAGCAGTGTCAAGCATTTAGAACTGTAATACAGTGTGTAAAGCTGTGTAAGATACATGTTGGCCTGTCTTCTAGCAGTGAGATTATCAATATATTGAATTTCAGATTCTTGCTCTTACAGATGTTCTGCATACAGTGCTTGAGAATGTCACATAAACTACTTTGAATTATTTGAAACTGTTTTTCTCTAATCTTTAATCTCCAAGCTGTTGTGATACTTTTTATGATAAATGATAATTTATGCAGCTCCCTTATAAAAACAACTTACTCGAAGTCTTTATTCACCTTGCACAAAAAGCAAACCAACTCCACTTTTTCATCTAATAAAGCATTCCTTAAATTGTGGTTCTTAGGCCAGATGAGGAAACCCTGGTGGCATAGTGGTTAAGAGCTATGGCTGCTAACCTAAAGGTCAGCAGTTCGAATCCACCAGTGGCTCCTTGGAAACCGTTTGGGGCAGTTCTCCTCTGTCCTGTAGGGTTGCTATGAGTCGGAATTGACTCAATGGCAAGGGGTTTGGTTTTTTTTTTTTTGGTTTAGGCTAGATGAACTTCAGGGACATTGGTAGGCGTCAGACTGTTAGAGCTACTGAGAAGAGAGAATGAACTCTTTTAAACGTGTAGGTAGTAGATGCTTTTTGTTTTATGTTTCCTATCCTGTATTCAGAGCCTTGATGGCACAGTGGTTAAGAGCGCAGCTGCTAAACAAAAGGTTGGCAGTTCAAATACACCAGCGGCTCCTTGGAAACCCTGTGGGGGCAGTTCTGCTGTGTCGTGTGGGGTTGCTATGAGTCAGAATCAACTCATTGGCCATGGGTTTGGTTTTTTTTTTTTTGTTTGTTTTTATCCTGTGTTCAGTTCTCATGCTTGTTACATTCTTACCTCAGGTATTCTTGCCTTTTCATTTGCTTTGGGTATGGAATAGCTTTGGCCCTTTTTGGGCTTTCTTTTTTTAATGAATTTTTTTTTTTTTTAAATCTTCAGAATGACTGTCACAGTGCTTTGTTCAGGTTCAGAAATAAGGAATTTCAAGAAATACATGTGCATTGTGTATATTAGTATTTTAATTACCCTTGGAATGCATGGGGGAAGCCTTTGAGAAGCTGAGACTAGTTGGAAGAATAAGGGGTATACATGTGGAACAACTAGAGAATGATGCAAGAAAGTGTGAGATTAAGTGCTACATTTTGTAACAAAGCAAAGTAGCACATCTGCTGCTGTTTCAACATGGTGCAATAACTAATCAGGAAAGTGTGATCAGTATTTACTTAACTTTTGTGACAATATTAGCACAACTTTGTTCTCTATTTTAAAGTAAAAATTGGAGAACTGAACACAAACATTGACAACATAGCAAAAGCTGATCTTTCTGCTTAGGCAGAATACGTGCTCAAGTATCTGTTATATCTGTAAATACGAGAACGTAGAACCCACCTTCTTTTTCTTTGAGAGAACGCTTCATTTTCAAGAGGAAAAAGCTCTGCCTGACCACTTCTTTTGAAATACAATAGAATTTTGAATATGTCAAAGACAAAAATAATAATATTCTATCAGAAAGTTCCCTTTTAATTGAGTTCCTTTTGTTGTACGAATTCTAATAGTATGCATTGACCTTCTTAATTATTTTTTAGCATTTATAATCTGTTCTCTTAGGTCAGCCTCTTCAAGATTAGGATTATTTTGTTCTTTCCTGTGTCTTTCAACCTTTCTAGGACTTTAGAGAAGCTGTCGTAAGTATTTGTGGCAAATGTCTGTGTTTAAGAAAAACAATAAAATAAGTACTAGAATATAAGAGGTTGTACTTTTCCTACTCATCTGTTTTGGTCATTTTTTGTCTGCTTTCTAATTGTGGGATTCTGTAATATCAGTCCTGAAAGCCCAGTTAGTTGATTCTGTACCAGATAGTTTTCATATTTTAAAATAGATTAAGGATAAACTGTTCCTCATACAGATTTTTATTTTTGTGAAATCACTTAGCTGTTTTGCAAGTTACGTTGCTATGGTTTTCCACATTTATTGGTATTAATCAGTATTAATGTGTTCATGACTACTTTAAAATTGTCTCAGGATTTCTGTTTAGTTTTTAAACCAATGGCAGTTTGCATGACCACTACCTGTCTGTCGTACTGTGGTGGCTTGCTTATTGGCTGTGATGCTGGAAGCTATACCACTGGTGTTGCAAATACCATCAGGGTCACCTGTGGTGGATAGGTTTCAGTGGAGTTTCCAGACTAAAACAGACCAGTAAGAAGAACCTGGCAATCTCCTTCCAAAAATTTAGCCACTGAAGGTTGTTTAGTTTATAATACTGAATCTGCTCCTCTAGCTTTAAAGAGGTTACAACCCTTATTTAAACATTAAAATAGAGTAAATAAATGAATATATAATTAGGAAAGCTTCTTACATTTTTGTTTAGCTTTAAAAGGACTGGTTCTGACTGTTCTCTGGATTGTGGACCCCTTTGAGAAACTGCTGAAAGTTATAAACTTCTTCTTCAGGAAAAAAAAAGTACTGTATACATACATGTACAGAATGTTGCATATAATCTCGGAGAATTCAGAGCCCCTCTTGAAGCTCATGGACCCCAGGTTAAGAATCCCCCGCTCTGAATTGCCTAATTCTGATTTCTGTGGGGACTTTTTTCCACACTTTTATTTCTTAGTCTAACCTTCTCTTTTTCCTGTTTAATCATTTTTTGAGAGTTTAAAATGGCATGCCCTGCCTTCCCCATATTCACTTGCACAAACACAAATACACACATACACTTGAATGGGTAGGGGTTGACATGGAAGGATTTTGGGGAAAGACTCCCAGGTGATGTGGGGGACGTTGCCTAGAGCTTGCTGGGGTTGTTCCCCATATATATTTGTTCATGTATAATGGGTATGTATTAATCAGAATAGAATACAGTGTAAATTCATGAGCATTAAAGAATCAAATTCCTTTCTTCTAGTAAGCAAGCTGGTGGCGCAATGGTTAAGAGCTCGACTGCTAACCAAAAGGTCTGCAGTTTGAATCCACCATCCACTCCTTGGAAACTCTATGGGGCAGTTCTACTCTGTCCCATAGAGTCGCTGTGAGTCGGAATTGACTCATTGACAACAGGTTTGTTTTTTGTAAATAAGCAAGCTGGGCGATTTAACATTCAGCAAACATGAGTCCTGACTGCACAAAAGATACCAACTTTGTCCTACTTTGAAGTAGGAAATTTAGTGAGATGAGGATACTTTACCCTGTCCTCTTTCATCTGCCCTTTTTTTTTTTTTTCTGGAGAGAGGAGAGGGAGGGCCTAGAAATGCAGAAATCAATAGATGAGCACTTGAAGAGTGACATTTAAATATAAATATTCTAGGAATTGGTCTTTGGGTCTGATATTAGTATTTCATGCTTTTGATTTTTATTTATTAGATGTCTGTGTATTCATTATTATGAAAATCTATTCAGACACCAAGTCAAACAATGTAAAATGTTTGATAGATGTTTAAAGTATGGTGCAATATGGAATTAAGTTCTTTTCCCAAAAATATTTATTTTTCAAGTGTCAATGTTTGTCTTTCTAGATAAATGAGACAAATTTACACATTAAATAAACAACTGAAGGTACTTTCTATATGTATAACATTTTTGGAATGCTTGTAAGCTGAGAATGATAAAACAATAGAAATTAATTTACTGTATTGCATTAATATTACCAGTGAAATTAGATCACTCTTGATATAAGATTTTAGAGATAAATATATTGAATATATAGCTCATGAGATCCTGAGTTAACTAGCATTGCCTTGGGATGCAAACTGATTAATAGTAATGTATTAATCAGATGTTCTAGTCATCTTATGTAAGAGAATTTAGATATTTTTATAATGACTTTTTGAAAAAGTTGCAGAGATTATATTGAGAGACTTATTTTTTTCTCTTTCAGGATCGAAGTAGAATGTATGACAGTTTGAATATGCACTCTTTGGAAAATTCCCTTATTGATATTATGAGAGCAGAGCATGATCCTCTTAAGGGTAGGTGACTTTTTTTTTTTTTTAATTTTATTATCCATCCGTTTGCTTATTTTAACAGTTTTTATATGAAAATGAGCACTGTGTAGCCCCTATGACATCTCTAAGGAGCCCGTGTGGTACAAACAGTTAAATCATTGGCTGCTAACCGAAAAGTTGGTGGTTCAAACCCACCTAACAGCTCCGTGGGAGAAAGACCTGGCGATCTGCTTTCATAAAGATTACAGCCAAGAAAACTCTATGGGACAATTCTACTCTGTCTTGTGGCGTCACTGTGAGTCAGAGTAGACACACCAGCACTTAACATTACATCAATAATGTATTAAAAATTTGTTAATAAGATCTTTTTTTTTGTGAAATGTACTTTTTTCTTTGTAGCTTATATTTATGCCAACTTACCATATACAGAAAAAAATGTAAACCCAAACTGCTTAAAATTTGAGAAAAAGCTACTCTTTAGAGATCATACTCTACATTTCACCAAAGGATGAAAAAGATCTAAAAGTATATTATAGTCACTTTTCTAGAATTCCATCAAATACAAAAATATATTTTAAAAAATTCTTGGAATACTTAACATTCACAATTTGTAGTGATTCAAACCTGGAATCATGTTAACCTCCTTCCCTATTTTTCTTTTAATGACAGAGACTTTTGAAAGGGATTATTTTATAGTAGCTTCTCTGAGGTGGAGAATAGTTCTTCATAAAAGTTGGGTAAATTAGGAAAAACAATCAGCCCACTGATCTTACATAGCAGCCTTCACTGTTGTTAATAGAGTCTGAAAATAATTTCATTAACATACTTGCGTTCATTTGTCTGTACATGTTCTGTGTATAAATGAAAAAAAAAGTTGCTAATTTACATTTCTTTATACAATATATCTCATTGCCTTTTATATTAACAGTGAAAATCTCTGGTAAACTGTGTGAACTGGAGTGCTGAGAGATCATATTAGTTATCTATTGCTGCATAACAAATTACCCCAAAACTTAGCAGCTTGCAACAACAATAGACATTATTATCTCACACAGTTTCTGTGGGCCAGGAATTTGGGAGCAGCCTAAATGGTTTGTTCTAGCTCAGGATCTCTCAATGAATCAGAACCATGGATTACTTTACAAAATTTAGCCTTCAAAACTCTAGAACTTCAGTGTTGGCGGCAAGGTGGTGGCACAGGGCTAAACTGATAAAACTAATCAGATTTCTAACCATTTATATTTTTGCATTTTGCTTGTAAGGGAGTTTCTTGTCTTTCTAATTCCTTGATTTTAAGGAGCTTTAGAAGCTCATGGGAACATTAGTGATTGTTGATGATGTATGCCAGTGATAATACAAACTAAAAAGTTATACTCCCCCCCCCGCCCACTTTTTGTTTGCTTCTTAACCAAAATCCAGTCAAGTATTTTGAATACCTGTATATTGAGGTCTTGTTGTTTTTCAGTGTTATACTGACAGTTCTTGTGGCACTCCTCTTGGTCCCACTGTTTAAGAGCAGAAGCCAACAGCTTGTGATTAAAAAGACTTTCACTTTTTTTCTCTCTCTGGCATCTCTAGAAAGAAAGCTCTTAGAAATCCTGGTACGCGATGAAGTCAATATTATTAACTGTTACCAGTGAATAATGAAAAGTATTTTATTGTTGTTTTCCCCACTCTTCTTTAAAAGTGGCCTTTTGAAGATCCTAGAGAAAATATTCTCTACTAGGCTATTCTCTCCGTTTTTCTTTTTCCTAGCCAGTGTTACAATAAAAGTGGAGGGAAACCTAGAGAGAGGACTTTGAAAAAGGAGATAGAAGCAACACAAACCTAAGATGAAATTAATAACCCAAAAAACCAAGTCAAAACAAAACATCTCATGTAAATTCAGAATTCATGTGTTAGAAAAAATGATCTTTGGCTATACCAAGGGACATGGAAAGGGGAAGAACGTGTCTGTCCCCACCCACCCCGGAGTCATCATGCTGACAGACCTCCGTTTCTAATTGGGGTACATTATGTTCCACAAGTATTATATCAAGGATTAAAAAGAGAAAAAAAATTGAGAACCCTTGTCTACAGAGTATACAGAAATATGACTGGTACTTTGCAGATTGCCATCATCTACCTATATAAAATTATCTTGATATCCAAATGCTGCCACATAAATTTTTTTCCTCCTTTTCTTATAAGCCCAGTTGCCTTCTGGGATATCAAAACTGTGTATCATCTTCCTCTCCCCACTCTGATCATTAAACTTTCTTTGGGCTGAACCCCAGTAGTATCTACTTAAGCAAAGGTGTGGCAAATGAAGAAACCAACCAGGGTTAACCCCTGAATTCCTTTCTCTTTTTCATTCCTGATCTTCAGGGCAGCACTTCAGCCTCCATTCCATCCCTTCTTTCCCATCTCCTAATCCCTTTAAGCCTCCTTTTGTCTGTTGGTTTGTCATACTGTGGTAGCTTATATGTGGTTATGGTACTAGAAGCTGTGCCACTGTTGTTTCAGATACCAGCAGGGTCACCCAAGGTGGACAGTTTTTAGCAGAGCTTCCAGACTAAGACAGACTAGGAGGAAAGGACTGTGATCTATTTCAAAAATTAGCCAGTGAAAACATGTGAATCAGAACACAACGTTGTCTGGCTCACTTGCTTTGGACATATCATCATGAGGTAGTAATTGCTAGAGGAGAACATTTGTTTGGCAAAGTAGAGGGCTAGTGAGGGTAAAGGGCTAGTGAACCCTCAGTGAGATGGATTGGAACAATAGCTGCAGTGTTGGACTCGAACATGCCAGTGGTTGTGAAGATGGCACAGGACTGATCAACATTTTGTTCTTTTGTACATAGGGTTGCCATGAGTCAGCGTCAACTTGATGGCAGCGAACAACAACAATCCATTTAAGAAACCCTGTCCTTTATTAATACAAGGAAATTCTTATTTCTTTCTTTTTCTAAAACCAAGATGAATCTTATTTTATCCTTTTTAAATATTAAAAACAAAAACAAAACGCAGCCATTTATTTTGTCTTCCATATGGGATCTAATGATCTGGCTTCCCTTAGAGCGAGTGATACAGCTCAAGGTGAATGAATGCCCCAATGTCTTTTGTGACTTAGCCTTAAAAGTCTCACATCATCGTTTCCACAATATTCTACTATGTACATAAGTCAGCCCTGCCCAATTTGGCAGGGGTTCTTCTACTCAAGTGATCTGAGTACTAGGAAGCAAGGATTAGTGAAGACCATTATGGAGATTGGGTACCACAGATGGAAAAGCAGAAGCTGTAAATTTGCATTTGGTTCTACTGTGAGTCTAAAGGAAAAGAGAAACTAGTCAAGCTAGTCAAGGTAAGAGTTAATGCCAGTAGAAAAAATATCAGTCAAGCATATCTCTGGAATCCAAAGGAGGTCAATAGCAAGTTAATAGCCTGACTGAGAACTGTTATTTAGTGATTATACTAACAGAAGCACAGTCCCATTCCCAGTCTTAGACCCCAAATACTTCACTACAGCTTATTTCCTCTTTCCCACCTCCCCAGCTTTCTTATAGGTCAGTAGGGAACCTTCATTGTGTAATATTAAGGTTTTTGTGGTCTGTTATAGCAGTTTGGGGGAGTCTTGTTGGAACTGTATAGGTATCAAGTGATCACACCTAATTAATGGAACTGTGAACGTACTTAATCCCATAAAGTGTGCCTACTTTTGTACCATACAGTATCTTAGACATTGGCTATACTTTGTGTAAAACATACATGGTATTTGCCCCCCTAGAATGTATAACCAGCCTCCTGGGGAAAGACAGACCATACACAAACGATATACATATAATTACAGAGTGTTAGGAATACTTTGAGGGCTGTGGTGGTTCAGTGGTAGCATTCTCACCTTCCATGCAGGAGACCTGTATTCGATTTCCAGCCAGTGGATCTCATGCGTAACCACCACCCAGTTGTGAGTGGAGGCTTGCATGTTGCTATGAGGCTGAACAGGACCTGAAAAGAAGACCAGCTTGTTTTGGGCTACCTCTGCTGATTGGGTGTAGCACTGCCAGTCAGCACTATAGAGTGTGGGGCTGCCTTTTACTCTGGATCATGAATACTAACTCACTCTTTGATGTTTTCCTTAGTCTTATTGGCACTGGCCAGTATGTTTTAATTATTTGGCAATGACTTCACTCCATTAATGCCCTATTTTTTGATGACTGTCTTGATTCTTAGCAAATATTTTGCTTTGAAAAGGAAGAACAAACATTCTTTTAATGGCTAAAACAAATCTAATGCTTTGCCAAGTGTACTTTTGTGATTTTGCTGTTTTATATTTGTGTAATGATTTTAAATAATCTGTGATCTTTTAATGTTCATGTGGGTCAATTCATTATCCTTTAAACGAAAGAACAAGACATTAATGTTAAGTGCTTCTCTTTCCCTTCCCTAATAATAATAATAATAATAAAAAGGTGATATGTAAGTAAGGTCAGTTGTCTTAGATTGGGTTCCCTAGAGAAGCAAAACCAGGGAAGCATATATAAATGTAAACATATAAATACATATATAAGAGAGAGATTTATCTAAAAGAAATGGCTCACTTGGTTGTAGAGGCTGGCAGGTCCTAAATCTGTGAGTCAGGTGTCAGCCTGGAGGATTCTTCTGACCCAATGGCTGACAAATCCAAGATCAGCACATCAAATGGTAGCCCTCTGGCTCATGGGCTGCAGAGGCTGACAAATCTCAAGATTCACAGGTAAGACGGCAGGCACCTGGCTTAAGTCCCAAGAACCAGAGATCAGATGATGATAGTTAGGATGCAGGATCCACATTAAGCAAGCAAGCTTTGCCAGAACATCCATATGTACCTTCCTCAAGGAAACTCCCCTTACAACTGATGGCTGATCACATCAGATCACATTGTGGAGGATGACTACATCATTACATAACTGCCAAACTCTACCTCATTATATAACTACCAAATTACATCATTACATAACTACCATTTCACTGAGAATCATGGCCCAGCCAAGTTCACACAAA